CACGATCCGCCCATTCGACTTCCCAACTCGCGCCCTGGCTAAGGTAAGGGCAGATTACTTTACTAATCTGGTTAGCCATGTTTTCAAGCGCAACGCACCGATCAATGTGTGCCTCAGCCACCCACGAGTCACGCCCATTCGACTTCCCAAGCTCGCGCCTTTGGCTAAGGCAAGGGGCAGATTTACCTTACTAATCTTGTTGGCCATGTTTTCAAGCGCAAGCACTGATCAATGTGTGCCTCAGCCAGCCCACAAGTTATGCCCATTCGGCTTGTCCCAACTCACGCCCTGGCTAAGCAAGGGCAAATTTACTAATCTTGGTCCGGCCATGTTTTCAAGCGCTTGTGCGCCGATCAATATTGTCCTCAGCCAGCCCACGAGTCACGCCCATTCTTGCTTGCCAAGCTCGCACCCTGATTAAGGCAAGGCAGATTTACTTTATTAATCCGGCCGGCCATGCTTTCAAGCGCAAGCGCCGATCAATCTGTGCCTCAGCCAGCCCACGAGTTATGCCATTCGGCTTCCCAATCTCGTGCCTTGGCTAAGGCAAGGGCAGATTTACTAATCTGGTCGGCCATGTTTTCAAGTGCAAGTGCCGATCAATGTGTGCCTCAACCAGCCCACGAGTTACGCCCATTTCGGACTCCCAAGCTCACGCCCCCCTGGCTAAGGCAAGCGAGATCTAATCGGGCAGTCAAATACCTAAGCTAAGCAGCCGATCTAACCATAACCGAAAGCAATAACATTCATCAACAACATCTTCCTTAGCTAGTTGAGCACAACTTTGGAAATTTTATATACTCAAGTTACCAAACAAAAAGCTACAAGCCCGCATAAAAATGCTTGGCAAAAAATAAACACTATGACTGTAGCAAAAGATGAAAAATACTAAATTAAAAATCGTAAAAATACATTCGACATCCTTAAAACTGTCAGTCGGCCGGATCAGCCATCGGAATCAGACTCCAATGGCTCAACATCCACTTGCTCATATGGTATTTGCATAATCAATGAAGCGTTAGCAGCAGCAAGGGCTTTGTGCCAGCCGTGTTTGAATCCCCGATTTTCAAACTTGGGGACTTGGTCCACGTACTCAGCGAGTCCAGCATTTTTCCCGGCCTCGAATACTTTGGAAGACTCTGAGTCAGCTGATTCCTTCGCCACCTTCATTTCAGCCAACTCAGCCTCTAGTTTGGAGATCGCCTTCTGGGCCAACTTGAGCGCATCTTCGCTCGCGTCCGCCTTCTTCTCGGCATCCAACCTTAATTGATCCACGCAACGAGCCTTCTCTATCTCGGCGTCGGTCCTTGAGGCTTCCTTGTTCGCCCTCAATGCTTTGACCTCGGCCCTTCTCCTCTGGCCTTTAACTTCCTTGCGTAAATGACCAATCAGTTTGACGGCACCGCGATGGCGACGGCCCATATCAGCTATCCATCCGACGGTCTGTAAAACAAGAATTTAAAACCATAACTTCAACAGTATTTGGATCAAGTGAAGCTAAGTTTGAATATGTACCAAAAGTGCCGATTGGGCGGCTAGTGCTGTCGCATTCAGATCTGTTTCCTCCCGGAAAGCCTCTTTGTCAGCCGGCAACGACACGGATGTAGCCAAGCTGAATGCGACTTCTGGATCTTTAAGTGCCGAAGCATCAGAAGAAACCGACATGTTTTTTATCATCGGCTGAATGACAAAAGGAACAATCACGTCCGATCCCTCTATTCGAGGATGTTTGCCGCCATGTTCTTCTACGCCAGCTTCAAACTTAGCAAATCGTTTCTCTGCCTCAACTTCTTGGCCGGCCTACACGATCAAAGTAGATTCGGCATCCCGATTTTCCGCCGTCTCCACCTCAATAATGCGCAAGGACTCTGATTCACTAACAGGCAGGGAGAATTGAGATTCAGTGGTGGGTGGTACTTTAGACGGAAGGGCCTCTGCTCTTCGTCGCGCGGCCAACCTTTCCGCATTCGCCTTCCTGGCAAGTTTTGTCAGGCTTAACCTGGCCATATTTTCGGGGTTTGCGGCGAGAATATCATCTAAGCCGTGAAAAATGCCGTCAAGCGAAAGATCCCCTCGGCCCGAAGCGGATGGGGGATCGGCCGAATTCAATACCACATCAGACTCGGTTTCGGATTGATCTAATTCGGTAACATTAGCTACACCCTGCTCCGAATCTGACCCTTCAAAACCAACCTGCCTCAAGTTTTTGAAGTCAGACAAAATAAGAGCGATGAGAGAGTCTTCACCCTCCGGAATCGGGATATTTTCCACCGCCGAGAAGGTTGTATATGTCAGCTCGTAACGAAGCAGAATGTGGGCCGCCCTGCCTTGTTTCTGAAGACTTCGATGGCCGAAATATTTGAGCGCGACTCCGATATCTGAAAGAATGGCACTACCAGTTGAAGATAGAACTTTCTTCAAATTTCTCCCTGCACAAACCAAGTCGTAACATTTCAAAGAAGAGGCTTTACAACAATAACGAACAAGTAATAAAAGCGAGAAAGCAATCAGCCACCTGGCTCGCCCTTCCGTCTAGGAATAGGATCGACGTGATCCTCCTCTTCGCCAAATTCCCAGTTACCCTGGACAACGACCATAACATCATCAACTCGTTTTCCTGAATTGGAAAGCATAGTAATCAGCTGATGGTTGATATCCTTGGCCCTAAGGAAGAAACGCTCGTGCCGACCAGAAGACTTAGCCAAGGCATAACAATGCCGGATGGCTGGAATGCCAAGGTTAATTCTTAGGCGACGGTTGAGCGCTATGACCCCCATTATGATTCTAAAGAAATTCACATTAGGTTGGGAAGGGATTAAACCCCAATGGCGAAGCACAACCCTAAGAAATGGGTGAAGGGGGAAACGGACTCCACCCTTTGCAATTGACAAAAGAGGAAAGACAAACGTGGTTTCGTCCTCCCTCTCCATATCAAGAGTGCCGTCTGCCACAAGCGACAGACGGACATCATCAGGAATGGAGAAATGGCATTTAAAGCCAGCAATACGATCTGATGAGAGGAGGTCTTTTAAATGTTTCGCCATACCCTACAGTCTATGAGAATATGCCAAGGAAGGAATAAACTAGAAAGAGTCCTCGAAGCAAGGGAGTAGAGAACTTACAAAGGACGAAGAGGATATCGGAGAAGAGAGTTTCAGGGATGATCCAAAAGGCAATCCAACGATGAGCATCATAAAATACATACTTGAAAGGACGTCGAAATTTTAAATCGCAATAAATAGACACGTACGAGGGGGGCGGGAAGTTGACACGACAACTGAAAGGGGTGCGCTTAGATATCCGCATGAGGATGAGGCCAACCGCCGAATTTTGGCTCCGACTTTTAGGAATTCAAAACCAAGCACTCCAGCCAACTGTCGTCGGTGACGTGCTTGGGGGGCAATTGTGGGAGCCGAATAAGTAGAAGAGTTGGAAGATGCGTACTCCAGAAATTAGATACTATCCGGCTTCATATTGCGTGCCTTGGATGCCGAATACGTTAGGAAAGCCAAATAGACGGAGGTCAGTGGCTCCGAATGAATAAAAGGGGAATGGGATAAAAGTAGGCTCAGGCCCCGAGGCCCAAAAAGCAAGTATAAATACAAGAACCATAGATTTAGAAAGGTTTGTAAGAATCATTTCACTAAATTTGGTAAACAAGCTGTTCTGAGTGTCTGAACTAACTTGTCCGTCGGAGTACTAATTCCGGCACTCCCGACCAGAGTGTTTGTGTCTTTTCAGGTGACTAGCTGAGGATCACTAGCGTCTCCCAGGATCTGAAGAGTATTTCCAAAACCACTTCTCCAAAACGACCTTTCCTTACCTTCCACCCAACACCACCTTTGCCTTTGCCAATGGAAGCTCGCCTTGATGGATAACATGTTGATTTATTAGAAAGTCACAAATGCAGGCATGATATCTTGTTATTAGAGAGAGGACGTTAAACAAGAAAATATCACCTCCCTTTTGCATTAAGAAATAGAGAGAGTGGTGAGACAGATGAGGCTCTTTTAGTTGGCTGGTGAGGTGAGACAAATGCATTTTTTTTTATCAGCAAAATACAATTTAACTTGACAGAACTGAACTGAGGACTAACAGCAAAATACAATATCAGCAAAACACAATGAGAACTGAACTTAAGCAAAATATAATGTGAGCCTACTAAGTTGTCTAATGATCAATCACTATTTTTTTTTTAATCATTAAAATAAGAAAGCCTGGTTGGAGATTGACTCATAGTTTCAAGAGCACAAAAAAAAAAAAAAACTGAAGCAACAAAAACAGAGCTACAAATTAATAGTTTCAGCCCTTCTAGGGAGTGAA